GCATGGCCCCGTGGCCTTTGGAGGTTCTCAAGAAAGGTCTCCTCTTCCTGGACAGAGTGGGACAATAATGTGGAACAAAACTCAAAATCATAAAAAAAAGGGACTAGGTTTGCTGGTCTGATGAGAGCCTGGTGGAATCCATGAGACTATGGCCCCTAGCTGCCCTTCAGGTCTGGCATGGAACCGGCTCCTGTGGCTTCCAGCCAAACAAAAGACAGGGATATGAGCTGGACATTTACATTAGGTAGATACACTCCTCAGAGTGATGGATCATGGGAGAACAGAAGGGCTGTGTGTGCACAGGGAGACAGCTCTGGGGCAGGAGTGTATGGAGGGAAGGACACAGGGAAGAGGTAACTATGGGGAGGAAGGGGGGGAGGAGCTGTTGCATTGTGGGGAATTGCAGTCAATGTCACGAGACAAGGTGTGTGCGAAGTGCTGTATGGAAGATGAATTTGCTCTGTAAACTCTCACCCGAATCACAATAAAAGTTTTTTGAAAAAGAAAGTTCTCCTCTTCTGCTCCTGCCCATCCCTGCTCTGGGAACTCAGTGCCAATGCCAGGATTCCCGATCCAACAAGCGTGGCCAGAAGGCCTTGGGGGTCCCCACGGCCTCACATGCTGTTCTGGTGCTTGGGAGCGTAGACTGCCCTGCCTCCCCTGGACGTGAAAGCCCCTGGACCCTGGCCCAAGCTCAGGAGGTTGGAGATCTTTACCAGGAGGGCAGAGAGAGATCAGCACGCAGCATGGCCTGCCTGACCCTCACCCTATGGATGCTAACTCTCACAGAGATGCCTGTGAAGCTGTGGCAAGAAGTAAGCTCTGCCATTCCAGAGGGAGCCTGGTTGCATGGGGTGTGTGGGGGGACTAGCTCCAAATAGCAATGGCCACATTGTGTCCATGATTTGTTGAACACCCTCCACATTGTTGCCATATAGTACTTATCACTTGTACCATTATTTACTTCTTATTTGTCTTTAGATGAATTCATTTAAAATTACTTATGTGATTTTATAGAGGAAATTGGGCATCACTGCCATAAATTCAAAGCCAGCATCAATTACCATAAATAAAATGACTATGCAAATATAGTACATTCAAAGAAACAAACAAAAATACCAACAAGGAAGATTAGCAAGTGTGACAGAGATGGAAAGGACATCCCTGTTTCAAACAGACTTTTATTTTTTTTGGATCATCTAAAGGATGGAAAAAGAATTGAAAAGGGAACAATCTTTTCATTGTGTGATGCGATGTTATTAGAATCTGTGTGTTAGTATAAAAAATCATCTTGTGTACACAAGTTGTATATTTCCCATACTTTGGGAACCAATGTATGAGTGGAACTATGAGGAGGTGACCCTGGGTCAAGCCTGCCTTCTGCAGGACCCATATTGGAGGCAGCCTCACAGGGCTGGGCCTTCTGGCCCTCAGTTTGGGCATTGGTCAGATTGGGTTTGGTAGAGGCTGGCCATGAAAATAGAGTCCAGTCACCAGATCAGGCCCAGGGACAAGCAACAGGGCATTATGGCAGGTGCTTTACAGACTTGGAAATGTTAAGAAGAAGCAGCTCTCTGCTGACATTTGTCTCCAGAATCTAGTAATCTGTGAACTTGGAGATTGGGCCCCTGAACCTGTCCACCTGTTGGATGAGAGGATTCTGAAACTCAAGCTGTTCTCACTAAAGACACTGATTCTCAGAGTTGGTCTATACCAGGACTCAAGTCTGTACATTGCCTTTTAAACATCAAGAGAGTCTTATTAGTGTTGGTGGGGTTAGGCTGAGGACAATCTAGAGTTTCCACTATTAAAGAGTCAAGTTCAGAATTCCTGATCAGTTAGAGGCAATGGTAACCATAAGTTAAGTCTAGCCAATGTCATTACCCAGGTTTGCTTCTTCTCTCAGGGCTCCCTACCAACACCATCTTGGATTCAGTCTCTCTGGTAAGGAAATGGGTTTCCTCTGGGAAGTCCCATCTCCTCTTCAGGACCTGTAGATGAGTTCTTCCAGGAATTCAAGGTTAGGGCTACTTATGGCTACCACTGTGGTTTGGTACAAATAACTTGAGTTTCAGAGTCATCTTAGGCCTGTGTTTGAATTCAGACCTTTTGACTTCCTGCTGTACAATCTTGGGTAAGCCTTTAATGCCTCAGCTTCGTTATCTGTACAAGATACTATAAGACTGTATATCTTGTCCATTTTCCTCCTCCTCTAATCCCCCTACAGCCCTGCTTCATTTCAGCTGAGGCCCCTTGTCCCCTGACTGTAAGCTTGGACTCTGGGCCTGTTGTATCATCAGAATTCTTTCCATTGCCAACTGGTTTATAAAAGACTTTATTGGTTCATATAACTGAAAAC